ATCCATCAACCTATCTGTGTGGCCAAACATGATTATTGGAGTAAGCATTTGATAAGCTACTACGATTTAAAGGAATCCATCTGTATTCCAGAATTCATGGATTACAAGTATTAAAATTTAGATTAAAATCCGTCATTAAAAGAGCAGCGTTAGTTCCAGAAAGAACATATTTGTTTTAGCCTTTGTATTTAGTAGATGGAATCAAGATTATTGCAAGGAGTTAACCCTAATAAGTTTAATATGATTAGCTTATAAATTATTGCAGTGAAAAATTAAAAAAGCAATGTATAATAATTTGCTATAATATGATCAAAAGTGCAACACTTTAAATAATTAAAAAAAACATAAGGGATAACATTGCAAAGTTGAGACTTAAGTTCTCAATGGTTAAAGAAGTAAACATATATTACAATTTACACCATCCTAAAGCAATTTTTAAAGTATGAACATATTAAAAGGAGCAAGCAGCATAAGCAGATAAATATCAATAACCAAATGTTTAGTAATATAATGTAAGTATGCAGTGCAAACATACATTTACAAATCCTAAATATGCAAATAATTGGATCATTCTCTAAGTATGATCAAGAAAAACAATATTTTCAACAGTTGTAGTAGTACACAATCAACATACAATGCCTAGAACGCAAGTTGTACATGCATATATCACTCATTTATTAAAGTTACTAAAAAATGCTTTAAGTAGTAGCATAGCTAATATTCATAGAAATAAGTGAATCAGGATTTTACTCACTGTTACAGGTAAAAAGAATACTTATAAAGTTAGAGCACTTATTTAATGCACAGAGTAAGAAATAGTCACAAAGAAATCATCTACTTTCAGTAGGATAACACGAAATAATTTAAAAGGATGAATAAATTAATATTGAAATTTAGGAGCACTATAGGTAACGTAATTGACAAAAGCAAAATAAATTGTATTCATAAACTAAAGAAATGATAAGTAGCAAAAGGATTCAAACATTTAGGATTATCTGAGTGATTAAAAAGCACATGAGGAACTCTAAATGCAAGGGTTGTGCTTTTTGTATTAAAGATTCATATGGGAGTTCTATTGTTCGAGCCAGTATTATTAAAAAGTCTATATGCAAATAAATTATATAAACTCAATCGAAACATACATTTTAATTGCATAATATAAGGCTTAAGGTTAAATATTATTGGTGAGCCATAAATATTATTAGGGATAGATTAAAAACAAAATAATCCAATAAAAGCTTTTTGTTTTTGATATTTCTATTGCTTATAATTAAATGATTAGAACAAAATTACTGGAAATTATGAGAAAGAGACACTGTTAGGATTTTTACATTATATGATAATTTGATTTTAATGAACAAATAGAGAAGAGAGAGACATTAATTTAAAGATTGCAATGCATCAGGGAGAGGATTTGAGTTACTTGTTGCTTGATAAATATTTTGACGAGTACATTAAGTAGGTTAAAGGAAGAGTGGAGGAGAGATAGAAATTCTACTCAAAGAAATAAAGAAAGATTAAAAGTTTACTTGAGGAATGGCAAATGCTGGTTACACTGACGATGATGTAGCCATAGGTGCTAAAGGAGGATGCTGGCTGAGCTTTTGTTAATATTTAGAGAAGTTGAGAAAGGGAACAATTTGATGGTGAATGAAAAGAAGACTCCTTGTACGGTTACAAAGTAATCCAAAAATGGAAGACATGAATTACAAAAAAAAGGTATACTTTAGACTTTTAGTGTAAAAATGAAATATAGGAGGAAATATAAAATGTTAGTTAATGAAGGCTCGATGGATATCGATTTTTAGCTATCTAGCTTTCTTACAAAAAATATGGATATTATACATACTTCCTATAATCAGATACACTCAATTTGCTATATGGAATTAATGTAAAAATTCTGTAACACAATCTGAGGTAAAGGAAATCATTTAGGAAAGTGATTGGATACGAAACATATTCATAAAAAGATGATATTATCTCAAAATTATTGTATGATTCGAAAATGATACTTGATATATGTGGTATATAAGAAGAAATTGGAGTGGATCTCGAGATAAAACAAGAGAATAGTATTTTAATGGAAAAGAGATTTGAATATATGGAAATGAGTTAATAGTAAAGGGAAGATATTTTGGAATAAGAGGAGAAATTTTTTGGCTTAAAAGTCAAATTTTGATGATTAATGGAATTTTAAAAAGAAGTAATACAGAAAAGAGAAGCCTAATCGATTCTATGAGGTAATTAAATGGTAGGATTGAATCAAGAACATTCTCAGATATTGCTATTTTAAAATGTTTGCATTTGAATAGTAGTTATACTAGAAAATGGAAGAATTAATGAATATGTAGGAAAGGGAGAGAATAAAGTTTGAGGCAAACCATTAAGAATCCTTAAGTAATAAGCAAAGAATATCAGGGAGCAAAATCAAAGAATAGATAATGTACATGCTGAGAAGTACCAAAGAACAAGTTAGAACTTGATTTAAATTACTAATGAGTTAAAAGAATTATTAGTTGTGTAGGATGCTTCTGATCCATCTATACATTATCATTCTTAGAATGCGATGAGACTTGACTTTAGATCCTTCTTATTAGGTATGTTTTGTAAAGTCATTATGATAATTGCTTAAACACCAGCAGAGTCATTAGATATATAGGTTTGTTATTTATATAATTCATCATATGTGATGCACATCTAATTCTATTTTAGGTTTATCAAAGTGCTATCATAGTTGCCAACTAATGTTATCAACATAACAGAATTGCATATGTTGATTGTGCGTTTACAACTGGTAGAATCTGAGCAATATAAAATTATACAACGGATCACAGATTGATGAACCTGATTTCTGCAATTAAGTATTCTATATATACAGGTTGATAAATAAACAAGCAGAATCAAAAAAATCACAATTGTCAATACATAGAGAGACTAAATTATAGTTTAGCCCCACCCAGAATTACAGAAGTTATACTGAAAGTTGCACAAGTCATAAAAATAATGTAGATCTTGCTTAAATTACAGAAGAATCAAAATTTTTCAAGGGTTACTATTATTATTTTTTATGTAAAACTGTTAAGACAAATTGAAAATATATATTTGTTTTCAAAAAGAGCCTGAAACTGAACTGCAAATCTCATATTTCGATTATCAACTTAACATCATGTGACAAATTCGCTACATACGAAAAAATTAAAAAAAAATACACAAATAGACTCGGGGTGAACCATTTAATTATATCATCAAATCTGAAATCAGGTATTTTATTAATCAAATTATACATTGCTTTTGAAACTAATTACAATAATTTTGTAATTATATCAAAGTACGCCGGTGCTTGAACCTTGTCTCTTCGCTACAAATACGATTACAGAATATGAAAGTTCAAATATCATACCTACCAGTTGCTATGCCTCCTAACATGAGGGTTAAGTAATAACTTTGTGATTACATTTTGAATTTAAGCCTTAGTTATTTGATTATATCCAATATTACTTACTTGACTTTTTATAAGAAAGAAGACTGATATATGTATAGCATATCCAAGCACTTCATTTAGATGACTCGTTATTTTGATGATCGGATCCATAATAAGATTGATTATTTCTTCAGCATACTATTCGCCTTGATAGTATTACTGAATTGTGTTATGTTAAACAGTTATCATATAGATGGCTGTGGTTAGTTATAATAGGATTTACACTGCTCAAAAATAAAAGTCAATGAATTAATGTGTATGGGTTAACAAATAAATTTACGGTCAAAATTTAGTTTACCTTTTTTATTATTCTAAGTTTTTGCATACCATATCCTATACTCATGAAAGATTGACAGGATTAAAGAATATTCATAAAAAGTAGCTTGATACTGCAAAATACACAAAAATCCAGCAACAGTTTGAAATTATTAGGCTTATCGGTAAAATCAATACTGAAGCTCTCATCAAATAGTAGTTAAATCAAAGATGGATTAGACACAAGTGGCAGTTACTATGGTAAACATAAAGAACACACTGTAGGAAGCAAGTTCACAATGTATTATTTGATGTAGGGCAGAAGAAGTTATATTATTACTTCTTGTAGACAAGGCGACTAAGATAATAAGATGGTGAAAAATCTCACCTGAAAGGCAACAGTTGCAAGTTTAACAACCATATTGTGAATATTATATCAAATAGGGCATGATTGCCTATAAAGGCTCTAACTACTCCCAAAATATCCTATAGAGATCTAATCAGCTCTACGAGAACGACCTAAGTAATCATTTATTTGAGAATAAGTATTATTTTGTTCCAGAGTTAAAAGTAAAGATTACTAAATAATCTTTTTATATTTAAACCTTGAACACTATTAGGTGCATTACTTTAAGAACAAACCCAAAGTCTCAATAATCTAAGAATAATATGTAAAGAAAAGTGTGGTTCTTAATTAACATGATACACACAAGGACTCCATGATTTTGCAACTCCTGTTGAATAGAATGCTGGCAGGATTGAGTTCAAGCAAGAAAGACTAGAAGATGCAAGGGCTATCATTGAAAAAATAGTCCTAATTAAGAATTAATACAATTTTGTTCTGCATCAATTCAGCATTCAAGTATAAAAAAATTAAATCAGAGAACCTGTTAACAATTAACTTTAACAAGTATCACAGGGCTTTTAAAGGAGAGATGATACACTGAGGAGTTGAAAATGCTGTAACAAGAACTTCACTTACTTAAGCACTAAGTTAATTATAAATAGTAATGGTTAGAACTAGATATGATGTAGATTGAATACTTTTTTCCATAGGTAGTTTCTCGCACAAACATCATTATTTTGAGAAAGGATATAGATATTGATCATAATACTTAGGTATACACTTTAAGAAGTGAAAAACTTGAGAATTTTCTAGCATCAAAATTATATAAACACAATAATTAGAGTTGAAATAATTGAATTAGAATAAGCGATGGAGGTATAATTTCAGTGATGGATCTATAAATAATTGCTAAAAGTGATGTTGTAATCGTTCTTCATAGCTCTCAAGCATGTTTTGATTAAGACTTGTGTGAAAATAAGGTATCTCTAACATGTAAATTTATTTCCAGATGTGTGATTTTACAGGAGCGAAAAGAGCAATAAATTGAGGATTCCAGAGTTAATAATAATATCATTGAGAGGCTAAACGATCAGCTGCAAAAAGTCGTGCTCAAGAAAAATCTGTTATTACTAGAATAATAGCAAGTATTACAAACTCTATGTGAATTATAATTAAGTTGACATTATTCAAACATGCAAATGTGAATTAAATGACTTTATTTCTTATACTTGAATTGTTCAAAATAAAAATATTGACTTAATCGAAAGTACTTTTCAAGAATAAGGGGTCAGCTAAAAATAATTAGATTTGAAAAAAACTATGGAAAATCTTAATTTGACGACAATCCTAGCCAAAAAGAATCAACCACTTTCTTTGTTAATTTCAAAATTATTGAATGTAAATTTAGAATATCTCATTATCTAAATTTTATAATTCGAATTCAACAAGGAAATAATTAAAGTATTCTAACAATATTTAACTGTTATATATGTTGCTTCAAGACCTTAATTACAAAGGTTACATCATTAATTTGACATTCGATTAAGAATAATATTAAGATTCAGTTAATTGTATAAAAGTTTGATGTACTTTGCCATATTTATACATATGGGCTGTTTCTATTGTGCTAAATTATTTAAATATAGGCTGATTAGAAATGAAATATAAAAGTGGAAGGCAAAAATTTCATCAAATTGTTGCTAATTATAAACACAACATTATCCATGTATTTATAATTGAAAAATAATAATAAATTAAATTGAAGTAAATCCACTTTAGAACTTAGTATTACAAGCAACCTTACCAATAGCAGATCAAATAATACACTTAAAGATCAGTATCGGTCACACTTATAGTATATCAATGTATGCTTGGAGCAGGATAGAAACAACCTTTGTAGAGTGTGACAATNTTGAGGTCAAGCAAGAAAGAATAGAAGATGCAAGGGCTATCATTGAAAAAATAGTCCTAATTAAGAATTAATACAATTTTGTTCTGCATCAATTCAGCATTCAAGTATAAAAAAATTAAATCAGAGAACCTGTTAACAATTAACTTTAACAAGTATCACAGGGCTTTTAAAGGAGAGATGATACACTGAGGAGTTGAAAATGCTGTAACAAGAACTTCACTTACTTAAGCACTAAGTTAATTATAAATAGTAATGGTTAGAACTAGATATGATGTAGATTGAATACTTTTTTCCATAGGTAGTTTCTCGCACAAACATCATTATTTTGAGAAAGGATACACTTTAAGAAGTGAAAAACTTGAGAATTTTCTAGCATCAAAATTATATAAACACAATAATTAGAGTTGAAATAATTGAATTAGAATAAGCGATGGAGGTATAATTTCAGTGATGGATCTATAAATAATTGCTAAAAGTGATGTTGTAATCGTTCTTCATAGCTCTCAAGCATGTTTTGATTAAGACTTGTGTGAAAATAAGGTATCTCTAACATGTAAATTTATTTCCAGATGTGTGATTTTACAGGAGCGAAAAGAGCAATAAATTGAGGATTCCAGAGTTAATAATAATATCATTGAGAGGCTAAACGATCAGCTGCAAAAAGTCGTGCTCAAGAAAAATCTGTTATTACTAGAATAATAGCAAGTATTACAAACTCTATGTGAATTATAATTAAGTTGACATTATTCAAACATGCAAATGTGAATTAAATGACTTTATTTCTTATACTTGAATTGTTCAAAATAAAAATATTGACTTAATCGAAAGTACTTTTCAAGAATAAGGGGTCAGCTAAAAATAATTAGATTTGAAAAAAACTATGGAAAATCTTAATTTGACGACAATCCTAGCCAAAAAGAATCAACCACTTTCTTTGTTAATTTCAAAATTATTGAATGTAAATTTAGAATATCTCATTATCTAAATTTTATAATTCGAATTCAACAAGGAAATAATTAAAGTATTCTAACAATATTTAACTGTTATATATGTTGCTTCAAGACCTTAATTACAAAGGTTACATCATTAATTTGACATTCGATTAAGAATAATATTAAGATTCAGTTAATTGTATAAAAGTTTGATGTACTTTGCCATATTTATACATATGGGCTGTTTCTATTGTGCTAAATTATTTAAATATAGGCTGATTAGAAATGAAATATAAAAGTGGAAGGCAAAAATTTCATCAAATTGTTGCTAATTATAAACACAACATTATCCATGTATTTATAATTGAAAAATAATAATAAATTAAATTGAAGTAAATCCACTTTAGAACTTAGTATTACAAGCAACCTTACCAATAGCAGATCAAATAATACACTTAAAGATCAGTATCGGTCACACTTATAGTATATCAATGTATGCTTGGAGCAGGATAGAAACAACCTTTGTAGAGTGTGACAATATAAGCTGATTACATGAATAGATTTCTGGGAGTTATTGAAATTTGGTTCACTAATATCCTAAAAAAGAAGAAAAACTGAATATATACATAGGCGAAACAGATATAAATCGAGAACTTTTATGATAATAGAGGATATAATGTGGACTTAAGTTCATTATTATCAAAATTGATAAATGCATAGAATCCTTATAAATTAGATCTAGAAATTCGAAGACATCAGAATTACCTGTCTTGTTTTATGATTATTAATAGAGAAATTTAATGTAAAATGTCGATATTTGTTGTTAAATTAAAAACTCTTTGATTTTCAAATGATAATAGATTCTTAGTATTATTATAAATTTCTTGTAATAGCTGCCCAATTTAGCCGTACAATTTAAGATTATAGTTAGTTGAAACCTCATGGTTGGTAAATCTGTTTTTTCAAAATTTACTTTAAATTAAGAAAGCCACCAATAACTCAAAAGGGCGTACATTTTGTAAACTACTATTTTGGATATGCATACTCTATTATCCAAATTGGTTATCACAATTAATCAGTCGTTTTGATTTCAGAATAATTACTCCTTTTTTGAGGAGATGTTTTTAATAATTATATAGATAAACTAATCTAATTTAATTCAGAATTTAATTAAAAATACTAAATCAGTATTATGGAAAATATTTTATTAGATTTTTAAAAGATTCATTTTATATTTAAGGTAGGCTACAACAATTATAAGGTAATAATAATATTAAAATAAGGTTGATAAGTTTAAAATGAAATATTATAATGAATGGCATATTATACCATTCAACTTATAATTGTTAATTTATCGTAGAATCATAATATTTATTAATTAAGTTATGATACAAATAAAGCATTCTTTCTTATTTCAATTTAAAATATTTATATTGAAAGGATTTTTGTCATCCTTTCTCAAAATTCTATATTTAACATAATTAAAATTTTTTTAAGGAACAAAATGAAATATTGCCTTAAAGCTAGGAGTTTTAAAGCAGATCTAAAGAAAAAGAAAACCGCTCCTTTATTAAATTGAGAGGCCTATATCACTTAAAACTGGAAATTATAATATTTAGCTATCACAATAATAAATTAATATTAAGCTTGTATAACTTGAAGTGTATTCCACTTAAATCAATTATAATCTTAATATACGGAGGGATACTACATGATACATGAGACTATAAGGGGCAGAAAATAATTTATACTCTGTAATAAATAAAGATTTGATAAATATACTAAACTATCTGGAAAAAATGATTTAGATTAATTACACATTTCTATCAATCTTAATCCTGAAAATAGTAATTTATGAATGGAATTTAAATTACTATATTCTTGCCATTGATGACATGAAAAATGCTATTTAAGCAGCATCTAAAATTTGTCTCATAGGTAACGTTAAGGTGCTAGGTCGAAGCTTTTTCCCTTTAGGATCATTTCTTAATATAACCTATTAATCCAATTAAATATGTACTTTCATTTATTAAAAGAATAAATTTAAACGTTGGCTTATTTATAGTTACATTATCATCCTTCATGTGGTTTATCTTATTTGAATTTTTTATATTTTTCCTTTAAGTCATTCCTTTTTCACTTAATATGTTATATATATATGACCGATTACTATGAGCTAATTTTTTTCCGTAGTCTGCTGATATTTTGGTAAAAGGAGAGTCTAATGATTAGAATTATTGTTTCAGAGAATTAGATAATTTTGAATTCCTCTTTATAGATTATAAGATTGTGAATCACTACTAATTCTTGTCGGATCAGATTAATTACTTAAGGACTATTCAAACCAAATTTGATGTGCTTATGAAATTTTCAATTTATACTGTTACGTATATTTAATATTAAAAAACTGTTTTATAATACCAATCAAAGATTGCTTTGTATTTAATTCTCGATTATTAATATCAACTGATTTTAGTAAATTTGTTATCCATTCAGAAATCATTAGAATAAATTGAAATTGATTTTACTTTAACTCAATATAAACAGGCATGTATCACTCTCTAAACAAGGATATGGATAAAATATGTAAAGCTGGATACAAATTCAAGAAATGTTATATGGAGCAGTTCTATAATTTCTATTGATCTCTTGTTCAGTTATTCCAAATGTAGATTTAATTCTTTCCATCTTCAATGACACTGTATCGTTTATGAGAATCGGACTCCTGAGTAGAAAATTGTTGGAGGATGAAAAATTTTTTTAAAAAAGAGTTTTTTGGTGATGTCAGATTAGGTGTGTCTTGAGGAACTGCCCCCTAAGCCTGCCCTGCTACCTGAGGGACTGAGGTAGACTTAGAATACACACGATGGCGTCAAGAGAGACAACAAAAAAGGGAGAAGAGTGAGATATAAGGTAGAAGCCCCATACAACCCGGTCGAGCCTAGCCCCTCGGAGGAGGATGTTGAATTGAATTGAATTATTGGAGGATCTCATCATTTGACTGAATTTCCCTTAACTCACTATTTCTAATTATTATATCACATTATAATTTATATTAAG